ACAAAGAGAAAACCCAAGGCTCAGGGAGCCGCTGGTGGGAGTGGGGTGTGAGCCCAGCCCACTCAGCTTGGGCAGGGAGCTTCCCCAGCCCACATACCCACGGGCAACAATGAGAAGATCGAGACCTGGCCTGAACACAACACAAGCAACTGTCAGATTTGGGAAAGTCTGACCAAAGACCACAAATGACAACCAAAAGCTAGATAAAACCGGCAGGACCACAGGCTTATATCACTGCAGTGGATTTGGGTATCCGGTTTATCAGTGACCCAATGCAGCACAGAGCAAAGCGGCCAAATCAGTGTGCAGGGGCTGCCTGCCCCTCCCCCCAACTCCAAACATTCAGCCACCGAATTTCCACTTTTACCTGGGGTTTTCTCCTGCGCCTCCTCCTGCGAGTGCTGCTTCCAGATCCCCTGTTCTCCCTCCGGAGGGTCCTGGGGCTCGCAGCCAGGGCCCAGACTCGCCGATGGCTGGGTCCTGCCTTCCCAAATGCCGTCGTCCGAGGTTCCCACTGTCTGTCCCTCCTCCAGATGTCTGCCTTAAACTGCTCAAAATAACTCCAGCATCCTGATAGAGATCAGCCCTGTAAGGGAAAAACAAAGCAGAAGTCCTCGCCCACAACACATCAGATGGCCCGGAACGCCAAGCCTGCCCCCGAAGCGGTGCTCTGCCGCCTCCCTGGGCCACGGGCGGCAATGGGCTGGCGCCAGCTGCCACCGGTTGGCGAGAGCCAGCGTGCGTGTCTTTTCCCAGCTCCATGTCCGTGACATGCCGTTGGTAATTTGAAATCGTCTGTGGCGGGACTATTGACACCATGGAAATTGGCAACTGCTACAAAGGAGGACTTCTCACCACGTTGTACAAAGCCCCCTGTCAGACATTCACTGGCACACCATCGGCACAGATCTTCTGAGAGTGTGATTAAAGCTATGTCCCCTCTCCCAACGGAGAGGCACATACACAGCTTCACACCGTTTCCCTTATAGCATCACAGAACTGGTGGCCTTCTGAAACCCTCAAATGGAACCCCCAGCTGAAAGACCGCCTCCTGCATTCTTAGGCTTTCGGCTATTTCTTTCCCCAAGGAAAATGGAAAAATAAATGGGCGTATGAGCCAGAAACTGGGCCAGGGATTTGAAATATTTTACTGCAAAACTTATTCAATATTTGGAAGCATGAACGTGTCACCATTTTACAGATAGGGGCACTGAGGCCCAGAGAGGTTATGTATCTCGTTTAAGATTTTACAGACACTAAGCCATCAACTCAGGGTTTGAACTGGGGACTCTGGTCTTGAAAGTTTGTCTCTATTCATTTGAAAGGCAGCTTTCTTCAGAAGAAGCAGGAGGCAAGGCCACCGTGGGGGGCAGAAGGACAGCCCCTCAAAATGCCCCATGTCCTAATCCCCCGCACCTGTGACTGTGTGTGACCGTATGAGGCCAAGGGGCTGGGCGATGGGATCAAGGTGGACGGCCTGGAGACAGGAGATTGTCCAGGGTCATCCAGGTGGGCCCAATCTAATTACACGGTCCTTCATAGCAGAAGAGGGAGGCAGAGGAAAACGTCAGAGAGAGGCGTGCGGAGGACTTGACTCTCTGTCGCTGGCTTTGAGGCTAGAGGACAGGGACCATGGGTGGTGGCTGCAGACCACCAAGGGTGGCCTTTGGTTTACGGTCAGGGATAAAAGGGGAACCGGGGTCCTTCAGCTCCAGGAGCTGAATGTCGTCACAACCCCCATGAGGAGGCGGGTTCTTCCCAAAGCCTCCAGAAGAAATGGCACCTCCTGGCCCCTTGACTTCAGCCCAGTGAGACCTGGGTGGGACTTTCAAACTCCAGAAACTCTGAGGTAGTACACGTGGGTCCTTTGAAGCCACCGTGTGTGTGGTGACGTCTTAGGGTGGCAGTAAAACGAATACAGCATTCTGCCTGAAGGGCCACGTGAGAAACGGGCCATTTCCCATTCCGCCCACTGGGAGAGGAAGGAGAGGCCCTGACGGTTCAGCAGAGGAGACGGGGCCATCCCCATCACTTCCCTGGTTTCTCTGCAGCTGGCTCAGAGCGGGGCAGCTTGGAGGAGGTGTAGACCCCCCATGCGACCGGCGGTGACGTTGGCGGAGGGAACCCATGCCATGAGGCGGGTGGGGACAGTGGGCCTTGGAGTCACAGCCTGAGGCTGAAGCCCTGGCATCGCCATTTACCAGCTATGGGGCCTGGCCAAGAAAACAGCCTCCTTGAGCCCACGTGCCCTCCATGTAAAAACTCAGCTAATCACGCCGGTAAAATCTGCACACAGGGACCTGGAGGTAACGCAGGGGAGAGTGATTTGTCAGCTGCCCTGTGTGGGTTTCTGTGAGAGACGGCTTCTGTGGGCCTCGTTACAGCGTCTGCCTCCCTGGCATTCTTTGCCTTGTGCTCCTTTTCCCTTTACAGATCTTTAAACAACGTTAAGCGCTTGGCTTATGGGTGCTTCTCAGTGCCCCTCAGGGCCCTGCCCCCAGGGAGAGCGCACAGAGAGCGCAGCGTGGGGCCAGGCCCTGCAGAGTTGAACCCTGGCTCTCCATGTCTCGGGCGCATCTCCTCTCCTTCCCAGGCCTTGCTTGGGTCACTGCCTGGAAAACAGGCGGGTGGTGCCATTCCCTGGCCTGCCAGTCCTGTGTGCCGGTGGCCAAAGGCCCACCCGGTCCCTGGTGCACATCCCAGGTGCTCAGGAAACAACAGCTGTGGCAGGCGCTGAGAAGAGCTGGCGGCAGAACAGGCCAGCTTGGCAGCCGCAGGATCTGGCCCTTCCGAGCTCAAGCACGATACTCCCGGCGCTGGACACGGGACCTGGCTCTTCGGGTCCCAGGATGCTATCGACATTTCTGGCGCGGCCCCTTCCTGCTTTCCCCTCAGGAAAAAAGCAGGCCCCACTCTCAGGGGGTCGGGGTGCCTGACGATGGAGATGCTGCACCCTGTGGTTCTTGTTCTCCTCACCCCAACTGACTGCACTGGTCCCGTAGGTCACACACCTCCCTGCTCCCTCCTGTGAGGCCTTCCGGTGTCGGGGCCCCCTGTGAACACAATAATGCTATACCCATTATAATACCTGGCATTGGTAAAAAAAATCTTTGTTTTAAGAGCTGCCATGCTCTGGCTGGTTTGGTCTGCTTTTTCATGACGAGGAAACTGAGACATGGAGAAGTCAGATGATAACTAGTTACACAGGCAGCAAGTGACTGAGCTGAGTCTCAGCTGAGTGACTCAGCCTGCTGCCTGTCACATGTACACCTGGTGATAATCCTCGTGGTCAGAGGCGGCATTTCAGCTCTTGAGTCCCGCAGAAGTCCCCGGGCGAAGCTGGGACCTGGCCACATGTGGGGCCCCTGCCCCATCCCTGCTGGTCCCCACGGTCGCGAGCTTCCCTCAAGGATCCCCTTTCCCAGTCCCAGGGAACTGCAGGGAATCACTCTGAGTCAGAGTGAGAGCCACGCTGCGTACTCACAAAGCATCTTCCTTCGTCAGTCAGCCTCCGCACGAACTGCTTTTATCTGGGAACCACCCAGTCTGAGGCTCTTCCTGGACATCTGTCCACTGGGTGCTCTGCCCACTGTACCAGCACGGATGGGATTCGCTGGTAACTGTCTGTACCCTGGTCAGAGTTTCTGCTGTTACCATAAAGAGAGTTGGATGCATCAGGAGGGAGAAAGAACTGGGCCACATGGCACTCGAGTCCACGTTCATTCTGACCCCAAGTGCAAGTTCAAGCGGGTCCCCACACCACCCTCAGTTTGATCATTCGCTAGAAGGACACAGAGACCTCACTGAAAGCTGCGCTGCTGGTGGTGAGGATGATCACAGCGGGGATACAGGTGAAGGTCAGCAGGAGGGAGGGAGGCACAACTCAGAGCCCGGGGTGGGGGCGGGTTTCCCAATGCAAAGCTCCGTCATTGTCTCTTGTGGAATTAAGAAGGGTAACTCTCTCGACACTGATGTGTGACAAAACACAGTAGTGCCAACCAGGGGGACTTGCCCAAACTTGGCATTCGGAGGTTTTACTGGGGCCTCGTTAGCCAGGCATGACTGATTGGTTGGTTGATGGCCTGTATGGTTCATCTCAGTCTCCGAGTTGGCTGACACTGTGTGACCCAGATCCCCTGTCCGGAGTCACATGGTTGGCCTTTTGGCATGGCCAGTCCCAACCCTGCCACCACAGGATGTGGTCACATTTACCGGACAATCCAGTGTGGCCAGCCTTGTTCTAAATAAAGACACCCCTATCAGGTATGCCATCAAGTGCCTCCCAGACACTGAGGACAAAGGCCAGACCTCTCTATGGGAAAAGCCAAATGCTTTACTGTTCAGCTATTAAGTCCCTCCCAGCCCCTCCACTCTACCCAGGCTCAATCTCAGGGCCCCGTGTACGGCGGGGCTGGGCTCCCAGTGCCGGCTCCAGCTCAGTCCAGTCAAACCACTCGCCTGGCCTCCAGATCTTTGTCTCCTTCCTGCCTGCTGCTTATTAGATATTCCGTCAGCCATAGAATATATTTGGTGACCTGCAGCTATGTGCCCGGCCCTGTACGAGGGTTGGCTACCTGGGTAAATGTCAACCTTGACGAGTTGTCAGAGTGCACGTCATATATAAACAAGGGGGGGCGGTGGAGATGGCACAGCACAGGGGCTCGAAGCACAGGCTCCTTCGAACAAAGGGGTGTTCGATTGGTATTGTAAGTACCACAGTTGGAATATGGTCAAAAGAACATTCTCTGGGACAATTACAGCATTGTTTCTGGAGACTTCGGCTCTCGACACGGCATATACGTCAACCAACAGAGAGGCCAAGGGGGTGCTGCACTGAAGGCCCAGCCAGGTGTCAACTAAGCGCTACCTAGGAGGCCTAAACACGAAGAGAGGAAAGTCTCCATGTGTGGAGGCATGTTGGTTTCTGGCTCATTTCGTTTTTCCAGCAGTTCATTGCTCTTTTCACCTTTGTTTCTCCCTGTTTCTGTGTGTTTTCCCAGCCTGGAATTGCTGGCCGATGTTCAGTATGCCTTTGGGCTGCCCTTTCACCCCGCTTATGCGGGCCAGTTTACTCTGGAGGAGAAAGGTGTGTCTCTGAAGATCATGCAGTACTTTGCCAACTTCATTCGATCCGGGTAAGTGGACCACGTGTGCCCCGATGCTCTCACCGCGTGCCCCTTCCCCCTCTCCAAACACAGAGGCCACATTTTGCATCGACAGACTCACCCTTTCTTCCCTCTATTGGGCAGTCGCCTGCCCCGGTCTCCCCAGCTCAGACTCCTCTTTCCGGTCAAATCTACCTTTGTGTAGATTCATCTCAGTGAAGAAGAGTCTCAATCAGATTCACTTTTGTTCAGCCACATTCGATGCCCTTGATCAGGGATTCTCAGCCTCAGCCCCACGGGCACTGGGGCTGGACAGGTCTCCGTGCTGGGGACTGTCCCGGGCAGTGTGGGCTGTTCAGCGGCATCTCTGGCCTCCACGCCACCCCTGTCCCTCTTGTAAGAACTGCAGCTATCTCAGACACCGTCAGATGTCCCCTGGAAGCCAAAGTCACCTCAGGTTGAGAACCGCTGTGTGGGATAATCGAATTAAGTGAAAATGCTCAAGGTTCGTCATTATCTACCTCCAGAGGCCCCGTGTACCTCTCTTCCGGCTCTTTCAGCAAACCGACTGTTCCCACCCCCCAAATTGCCTCCTGCTGCCCCTCCCACGTGTTTACCTCTCTCCTTTTGCCCCTTTGCCATACACGCCTTGGTCACCTAGCACGGTACTCGGACCCCTGGAAGGAGAAAAGGTAAAAAAGTCATGGCTCAGTGATCAGCCGCTGACAGCCGGCAATTTAAAACCCAATCATAATTAAAACCAGGACAAAACAGAACCTGATACAGCATTTTGTACGAGTTTAGTGGAAAGATTTTTCTTTTCATTTGGAATTTGAAAATGTTGCTCTCAGGAAGTGACATTGAAGCTGGGCCTCGGGGAAGTGTGTCAGAGCCAAGGCAGCAGGCGAGCAATGCCCGGCTTGGTGAACGTCAGACGGGTCTGGGACGCGGCTCGCATGGGGGCGGGGCCGCTATGCTGGGAGGGGGTTCTGGACGGCAAGTCTGAGAAGGAGCCCGCGTCGAAGAGCATGTGACGTCCACTTACTGAAGGAAGCAGACCTGCAGGTGGCGGACACATTTGCCTGGCTCTAGGCCCGTCCTCCCTCCCAGGCCTGGGACAAAAAGAAGCCTCCCAGGGACGGGCTGTGGTCTGTGGTGTCCAGATTAAAGGATGCCAGGACAGGAAGGGGTACGGTGGCCTCCTGAGCCCAGAAACTCAGAAGGGCAAGGCCAGGTCCTGAGCTGTGCTGCTGGGTCATAACCTCAGGTCTTCCCCAGAGATGGCCTGAGGGCATGAGTCCAGGCCTTCGAACCTTCAGAGCAGTTAAACTCTGACCCCCAAAGGCGTGCGAGCAGGTCCCCAGAGACCACATGCAAGTGGAAGCGATCCCAAGTGATGACAGCAAAGACAGGTTTCCTTCACAGGTGTTTCTTTCTTCTCCCTTTCCCAGAAATCCCAACTACCCTCACGAGTTCTCAAGGAAAGTGCCCGAGTTTGCAGTCCCCTGGCCTGACTTCGTCCCTGGTGCGGACAGCGAAAACTACAAGGAGTTCAGTGCCCTGCTCCCCAATCGACGGGGCCTGAAAAGGGCTGACTGCTCGTTCTGGTCCAAGTACATCCGGTCCCTGAAGGCACCTGCAGGTAGGGGAGCCTGGAGCAGGCGGGGGCCCGGTGGAGGGCGGGCGGGCAGGCAGTGCTCCGCATTTACTGCATGGCTGTGTGTTAGGTCTGCGCTGAGTGTGCCGGAGCCACTGGGTCATGGGGGAGCCGTCTGCACAGCTGCCTCCCATGAGGAGCTCGCAGTCTGGGGGTGTCCTCTTTGCCAAGGGCTTTCTGCTCTGATTCAGGCAGGAGGGGGACGTAAAGGAGAGATAGGACACTGAGGGGTGGGGCAGCGGAGCAGTGGGACAGTTAAGTGGGGAGCCAGCCTGCTATGTTGGTGTCTGGAGAGAAGGTAGGACCTTGAACCCCCTCCTCGCTGCCCTTGGAGGGCTGGGTAAAACGTCTTGGACAGTGAGTTCTAGCCAGGGGAGAAGTGGGCATTCTACCCCTTCCTGTTGAAATGGCCTTCCTGTTGAAGAGAACTTCCTGTCAAAGAGAACTTCCTGTTGAAGAGAACTTCCTGTCAGAGAGGTGTTAGAGAAAAGGAACCATAACAAGGGCGCTGGGAGTACCCAGACACATGCAATGCCCTTGAGAAGCTTCTGAGCAGGAGGGAGGCAGTGACAGAACCCAGTGGCTGTCCTTCGGCTTCCGGATGCCAGGCGGGAAGTCTGCCCCGGCGTGAGGGTGGGAAGGCTTCCCAGGGAGGGGTGCTGGGGCTAGTTAGTGCTCCACAGCAGCAGGAGTTCTTCACGCAGAGACCAGCAAGAGTGGGGCGTTCGGCAGGGAACTGACCTTGTCCGACACCCTTTAGACTCTCAACTCTGCTCTTCCTTTCTAAGACCCAGAGGCTGTGTGTTGATGAACCCAAGTCTCCTTATACCCTCCGCCTGTCCCTACGGCCAGGTTACCTGGAAATGTACCTCTGTAGGGCATTAACAGGGCAAGTCCATCAGAGGCTGGGGTCTCTTCAGGTCAAAGAGAAAAAGACAAGGGAAGAAAGGACTTGGATTGGACCAGCCTTGCCCCTCATGTTTCAGATGAAACCGAGGATGAGCTGTCCCCAGGCAGTGAAGAGGAGGACCAGCCAGCTGGCTCTGGCCCGAGAGAAGACCTCCTGGGCCTCCCAGATCCAGACTCTAAGAGCTACGGCACATGACCAACCCTGACACCTCTACCCACCCTGCCAACCCCACCCCAGGCTGGCACCCTGGGCACCTGGTTATCTAAAATGGCCGCTAGCTTTCAATAAAGCATCTACATGCAGTGACACATCGGGGACTCTGGTTTGTTAATTCAAGACTACCCTTGGGAGATGCCAAACTATGTCTTAATAATCATCTAATCTCATCCCATCTTCCTGAGTTTTGAACTCCAGGCTGCTCTCTGCTCTTCCCTTCCAACAAATATGTCTGTAACATCCTCTGTGCACCAGGCTCTGTGCCAGGTGCTGGGGAGGCAAGAAGCCCGCCCTCCAGCAGGAGAGGAGAGCAGGTGAACGGACGTGACACAGCATATGGGGATCCACTGAGGGCAGGCCCAGAGTCCTGCCTATGTCTTACAAAGGATTCTCTTGTGAAGGCTCCAGAAATGAGGTAGGAGACCAACTAGGATGATGTAGTATTCTCAGCGAGAGCCAATGAGGTCTGAATCCAGGCAGAGGGGGTAGAAATGGGAGGAGGAACATATCCGAAAACCATTTAGGAAGTAGAATTGACAGGACTTGATTGATTGTGAGGGAGCAGGTGCAAGGAGATAGAATTATGACCCCGGCTTTTGGTTAATTTGGGTTCCCAGATAAGCAACTGATTTTATCATTCACCCTCCCAAGGGAGATACTTATAAAGGCAAATCTCCTATTTACAACTGTCTGTCTGTCTCTCTTTCTCAGTTACACACACACACACACACACACACACAGTTAACCCAAAGTAAAAGTACATGGAGCTGATTAACAGTCTCTGTCACTTACATGGCACGTCATAGATATGTTTCCACACATCATCTCATTTGGGCAGAGACCAAACTCAGGGATGATTTGTATGCTGGGACTGCCACTCATTTCGCAGATATGGAAAGTAAAGCACAGAAAGGTTTCGGGTATGTCTAAATTCACATAGGGAGGAGGTAGTGAGTCAAAGTTCAACTCAACTTGTCTGATTTCCCTGTTTCCTTGCACTCCCTGGACTTCAAATTGGCCTACAGCCACATTGTGTGTCCTTCCAAACCCACTGGTAGGACTAAAAACCCTAGATAACCTCTAACGCACATTACAGGCTCTATCAGCTGGGATGGGAAACCCAACACACAACTGAAGTGCCTTTCCCTAAAGGAACCCCCAGGGGTGGAAAGTCCTAGGGTTGAGCAATGGCTGTTATGTAATGCAGAGCCCAGGCTCTTCCCAGCCTCCTCTTTGTGATCCTCAGCACACAGATGACATCTCCCTTCACTGGCGCAATGTGGCTGCCACATCGCCGGATATCACATCCCCTTCTCACAGCGTCTTGTGCTGGCAGCAAGCAGGGAAGAGTACAAGGCCTTCCCTTTAAGTTCCTCTTTCTTTTCTTGGAGGGAAATCTTTCTCAGAAATTACTGATAGAATTCCCTTTACATCTATATTTCTGTCCCCACTTTTAGGGAGCAGGCTCATCATGATTTGCTGAGACCAGCATGGCATAATCAGCTGATAGGGATGACCTATGGTGGGTCCAATGTAATCACAACGGTACTGACAAGTAGAAAAAGGAGACAGGAGGGAGGAGCAGAGAGGTGAGAGTGAGGGAAAGACTTGGCCCAACGTTGCTGGTTTTGAAGGTGGAGGAAGGGCCAAGAGCCCAGGGGTTGTGAATAATCTCTAGAAGCTGGAAAAGGAGAGGACACGAATTTTCCTCTAAAAACCTCTGGAAAGAAAGGCATGGAGCTTACGCCTTGATTTTAGCTCCTTGGATTCATGTCGGATTTCTGATCCTCAGAACCACCAACTAATCAATGTGTGTTGTTATAAGCCCATTTGTAATTTGTTACAGCAGCCACTGAGAACTAGTACATCATTATACCTGTTTAGAAGTATATTTTATCCTGCCCTTGGGCCAAACCCAAGGCATAGCGCGTTATTTTCCTGATTATAAAAAGTCCACTCCAATCCAATATCAAAACGCCAAATCCACCGTCATTAGCCCTGAAAGTGTGTCCTATGCTGGTTGGGTGGGTGATGGACTGATTCTGGCAAGTCCAGTTTGGGTGACCTGCTCTGTGAGCCCTGCACAGACAGTCGAGCACAGGACGCCGCCTGCTATTTGTTCTCAGACTTTGAAAAATGAAGGAGAAAACAACCCATGATTGCATTGTGCTGTAATAACGATGCCCACTTTGCTGCCTCGCCCTGCTGATGGGGGGTGCTCAGGTGCATGAAACTATGAAGTGCCGTTCAGGAAGCCCTTACAGTTTACCGTCGACTCGGCCTCTGTGACGTGCCAGCCATGAGAAGACAGGGGTGGGAAACAGGCGAGATCTGAAGGGCAGGCTACTGTGGTCTCTGCCCTGGAACAGCTCTCAGAAAAGCATGGCCAAAGCGACAACACACAACAGAGTCAGGGAGTGAGAGCTGGAGGAGCCCTGGGCCCACCTCACGAGGAAGAGGCTGAGAGCAGAGAGACGTGCGCCCCTGGGGTCCCCCCAGCCGGCCCCTGGCATCGGGCTGCTCTCAGAGCTCCGGGCTGTGTCCCCGCCCTGGTGTTTCGCTGAGATTCCCCTGAAGTCTGTATCCCTCTCCAGATGGGATGGGCTACTTCCTTCGGTGTGGTTGTCGCTGGACAAGGTCTGGGCCTGGAGCGGGCCTGTCTCAGGCCAAAGGGTGGTGTATGGGCTCCTGGCTTCGTGGAGGAAAGATCTCACAGCATGCGTTCCAGTAATTTGGAGAGTATGTTTATTAAAGCTGGGGACACTGAAACAAGGGAAGGGCTTAAGGTAGAAGAAGCAACAGGAGGAAGAAAGGAGGCCTTGGAGACAGGTTCAGGGGGTAAGCCTGGGGCAGGCTGCCGCTGCCTGCTGCTCCCCTGGATGCAAGCTTCACGGGGCCCCTCAGAGTCTAGGAGGAAGACAACAGGGATGTGAGGCGTGGGTGTGCGCGGCTGAGAGAGCACGTTGTGGGTACTTTGTTTTGAGGCTCTGTATCTTTGGCAGGTGGCAGTCCTAGGGGAAGTCTCAGGGGATGGTCTTATCAGAATATTCATTAGCTTTCTGGTGTCTTTTGATACGTTGACTCATCAAAATGTGTTTATACAGGGGTCCGGATTGTTGTCTGGTTAGTTTTGTTTCAAAGACCGTCTTCAAGAATGTCATTCAGAAGGGATCAGGTCTGAGACCATCCTGTTCCTGGGACAGTCTGGAGTGCGTAAACCATTTGCTCTTAAGGGTCCTTGATTAGGGAAGGTAACACCTAATCGAGGTGTGGGTCATTAGCTGGCTGTAAATGGCTCAAGTCGCCTGGCCTGGTGTAATTATTTTGTCTCCGTTTCCCTTTTTCCACTTGTCTGGAAATTTCCCTAGCTCCTCACTCTCCTGCCTCAGGGAGACAGCCTTGAAGACCTGCCCAACCCCCAGCCCCTGCAAAGGGCAGGAAGGCAAAGGTCACCACCAAGTCAGGAGGTGAAAGGGGCAGCACCTCGATCAGAGTGACCTTCAGGATCAGGAAGGCAGGAATTGAGAAATTAAGTGAAGACATTTGCCCTGAGTACAGCCACTGGTCTGAGTCATCTTTCTCTGAAGCTGGAAGCAACTGGGAGGGCAGGAAGCTAAGGCAGGTGACTTTCTCAAAGGGAAGTTGTGACACAAGCCTGCAGGGCCTTCCTCCACTCAAGCCCTGGCACAGAGGCAGCAGAGTACAGGGGCGGGCCCCACTGGAGCTGGGCGGCAGGGACGGCTCCTCCCAGACCACCCAAAGCCGTTGGGCAACGGTGCCAAAGCGGGTCTGAAGGCGTGAAAGTCTCCCAAGGAGCTTATGAAAAACAGATTCCTCTTCCCCAAGTTTTGAGGATAAATGGGCTAAGATGGGGCTTGGAAATCTATATTTTCAAATTAACAAAGCCCGCACTTAAGGGATGACCCCCAGTGGCCCCCGTTTGCCATCAGCCCATCCTGCAGGAGCCACTCCGTTCGGCAGCCTGCTCCTCGGCTCGGGCCCCCCGAGCCTCTGCGTCGTCCACGCGTTTCCCCTTGGTGTGATTTATCAACTTGCACCACCATTTCTGGTTCCCATAATCCCACCGGCCTCTCCTCTCAAACCTCCAAAAGCTGGCTAACAGCACAATTCTTATTTCTTCCCTTGACTACTTTTATAATTTGAAAGAATATATTTTTCTTATTTCATCGATTCCCTAGCTTGTTACTTAAACAATGAGTGTGCTTGCATCCTTACACCACCTCATTTTTCCTTCTTCATTTCTTTTTCTTTTTTACCTTGCGTGCGCTTAGAGGTTCTTTGTCCTTCAACCTCACCAAAGCCTTCCAGGCTTTGTTCCGTAGGGTAATTCCAACAACTGAAACCAGTTAACTTCATTTGCCACATTCAGGCTTTATGTAAATTGTTCCCAGGCCAAGCGATGTGCCTAAATAGCTTTGTATTCTCCTGGTCTGTGAAGCAGCCCTGGGGTCTTCAGATCAAGTAGATTCTCTTCTATTATAGTTTGTTGGTTGCTTACAATCATGATACATTTTAAACTATAATGTTGTGTTGTTGCTTCTTGTATCCTTAACCCTCACCTTCTCCTCCTCCTACTTCTCCTTCTCCTTCTTCTCTCTCTCGTTCCTTCAACCCTTCCTTTCTTCCTTCTCTCCTCCCTTCCTGTCTTCTCCTTTCCCTTTCTTTCCTTTCCCTCTTTCTCCCTTGAAGTCTGTGCTTTTATCATATCTTCAAGGAATGCATATGTCTCTCTACAACACCCTTAGTGGGACTCAGCCAGGTCTGGGCATCTTTGCCTTAAAGGCAGCAAAACAGATGATTTTTCAAGTCAGACAGGAATTGGAGTTCTGACTCAGCAGGTCCCCAGCTGAATGATGCAGCATGCGTTCCTCCTCCAATCCCAGCATGAGCTTCAGCTGGAAAATGTGGACATTCTTTGCCCTCCGAGCACAGTGGGAAGGTTCCCATCAAACGACAGAAGAGAGTGTCCTTCATAATCCGACACTGACGGACAGGGATTAAGAGATATTTTCATTGCCAATTTGTAGTCTTGTTCAGCTCATTCCCTGCCCTGG